TTGCGGTTTCACCGACTATAAATGCACCAGTAAAAAAACTTCCATGGATGAATGGAGGCAATGCAAGACTTTCTTTTTGGTTGCGACCAGGCTTCCTCTTTCTTTCTTTCTTTCTTTCTTTCTTTCTCTCTCCCTTTGCAGAAATGGCAGTTTTCCATTTTGAAATATATAGTTATTGCCACTGTGACTGGTGGGGAGCTGTATTCTATGCCAGGTGAAGCATCCAAGTTTTCATTAGCCCCAGGCAGAACTGGACTCTAGTTTTCGGCTGACAAAAACCACTTACTATTTTTGTTCTTCATAATGGCCTTTCAGTTTTTCTGAGCTACTCCTTGATTAGGAAGTGAGCTGAATGCAGGGGGTGTGGGCAGCCCCCCCCCATTAAACTTACATCTTTTAGAAGACATCTGAAGGCAGCCCTGTTTAGGGAAGCTTTTAATGTTTAATAGACTATTGTATTTTAATATTTTGTTGGAGGCCACCCAGAGTGGCTGGGGAAACCCAGCCAGATGGGCGGGGTATAAATATTAAATTATTATTATTATTATTATTATTATTATTATTATTATTATTATTATTACATCCCACCCCCACTGTTCAGCCCAACAGTGATCCTTGCTTTGCTTCCAAACAGCTTACCTCTCCAGTAGCTGGTTGATTTACATAAAGCACCCTCTCTCTCTATATATATATACATATGATTTGCTGAAATGGCAGAAAAAGCAATAAAATTCATGGGACGTGCATATCTGCACGCCTGTGCCTTCCCTGGCACCTTTGCCTCTGTTTCCCATATCATGTCTCTGGCCATGATATTAGCAAACCCCTTTCTCTGCTGGCAAAGGACTGTTCCTATGGATTCCAGCCTTTTGTGCTGGGACAAAGGTTGGCATTCTGATTCCCCGGAGCCAAATTGTGCCCTTTGACACTCTCCCCTTTTCACACTCCTCGCTGAGCTTGGCCTGTTGCTATGCTTCAAAGCCTGTGGGTGTAGGGTTACCATGGCAATGGGGATGAAACTCCCGAGAGAGGAGGGGCCACAGTGTGAATAGAACACACAGGCCTTGTTAATCTGAATGTGAATGAAGGAGGAAGGCTCCTTTGTACTTCATCTCCATGTTGCCCAAGCCTACAATTTATCAGCAGGGAAGCAACTTTCTCGTTTGCTAACTTGTTTATATTTGCTGTTTCTTGAGGCTTATGGAACAAAAGTGGTCGTGTCAGAGGCAGCGAGCAGCAAACGCCTTGGGTTTTAATAAAAATTGTTTCTTTGACTTTATAGAGGCTTTTGTTCCTTTTACAGCCAGAACGCTGCTCCCCAGATACTACTCCATAGCTTTCCTTTTTAGATCACAGCTCACCCTTCTGTGTTTACAAAGAGGTTTCCCCCTGAAGTTCAGAATCCATAGATCCAGTGCGGGAGGGGGGCGTGGGTGGGTGCAGGACCAAATTTAGGGTGGTTCAGGCAGTTCGCCTGCACAGTGTGCTAAGCCAAGGGGGTGCAAAATCCATAAGTGAGATGATCCCTTTTGGGGTGCCAAATTTTGGCCTTGCACATGGCACCATATTACGAAAGGTTACCAAAGTCCGGCCCTAGTAAAGGTAAAGGTACCCCTGCCCGTACGGGCCAGTCTTGACAGACTCTAGGGTTGTGCGCCCATCTCACTTAAGAGGCCAAGGGCCAGTGATGTCCGGAGACACTTCCGGGTCACGTGGCCAGCGTGACATCGCTGCTCTGGCGAGCCAGAGCCGCACACGGAAACGCCGTTTACCTTCCCGCTTGTAAGCGGTCCCTATTTATCTACTTGCACCCGGGAGTGCTTTCGAACTGCTAGGTTGGCAGGCACTGGGACCAAACAACGGGAGCGCACCCCGCCGCGGGGATTCGAACCGCCGACCTTTCGATCGGCAAGCCCTAGGCACTGAGGCTTTAACCCACAGCGCCACCCGCGTCCCATACCCGGCCCTAGTAGGTGCAGGGAAAAAATCCTCCTTAATTTATATCCCCTAATTCCCATCTATCTATCAGCTCTGCTTGTCTAGACATGAGCAGTTGTGTGTAGATCAACCTAATGTTGATCACATATACTGTATCTAAGCCTAAACAAATAGGTTCATGCCATGAGAAAAATAGGTGGTAGGGGGTTCCTGGATGCTTGACTTGTATATCCTGAGGCTTTTTCTTCACTCTGGAAGGAAATATGAGGACTGGCGAAAGGAGCCGGCTATATACAACCTCCGGAGACCATCATAGTTCTGTCGTAGAGGAGAAGACAAAGGAATGCCAGGCTCCGCTCCTGATCAGAACTCTTTTCCCTCCCCCCTTTACAAATTCAAATAGTTACTAGGGTAACGGAGAGGCAACAGTCCTGTTCTAAAGTGCAGGCGCCATGTTCATTAGAATAACAAAATGAGACATGAATTCCACCCTGTCACTAATAGTAAGGGAGAATGAATTAAAAATGTAGGAGGAAAGCTCTTTTGCACGGCTCAATCCCATCAGTAGAGACGTATGCTTTTCCTGATTGCTGCTTTTGTAGCTATGCTTCTCGTTGCACGATGTCTGCTTTTAAGTCTCTCTTTAAGCTAATAGAAGACTATTCTGTCTTTCTTTCTCTCCGCCCAGCTCCCAGCCTTGCATGGTGCCCCCCCCCCCACACACACACATGAGAGAGAAATCTTGGGGGTTATGGACCAAGGCTATTTCAGTATGAGCATGTCTGCCATAGTTGCCAGGGTTAGCACCACATGGCACCTGACTTACAAATGGCCATTCATTTGTCATCTCTGACAAGTAGAATTTCCCCATCCATGCTGGAAAAGTTTCTGGTTCTTGAAGATTTAATAGTGGGAGGCAGTTCAGTCCAGGGCCTCCATAATGCAGCTCTGTTTAATACAGTGTCTTTGCCAACTGATTGTCCAGAGCCAATTGGGGGCGGGGGCATGAGGGGGAGCACAGGAGTCTGGTTGCGCTAGTATAAGGCCTTGTGCTGGCTGCAGCTAACGGAACTACAGTGGTGCCCCGCAAGACGAATGCCTCGCAAGACGAAAAACTCGCTAGACGAAAGGGCTTTCCGTTTTTTGAGTCGTTCCGCAAGATGAATTTCCCTATGGGCTTGCTTCGCAAGACGAAACATCTCTTGCGAGTTTGTTTCCTTTTTCTTAAAGCCGCTAAGCCGTTAATAGCCGCTAAGCCGCTAATAGCCGCTAAGCCGCTAATAGCCGTGCTTCGCAAGACGAAAAAACCGCAAGACGAAGAGACTCGCGGAACGGATTAATTTTGTCTTGCGAGGCACCACTGTACATAGTTGAGCCTGGACTACAATTTCCATCACCCCAGCCAGGACTGCTCTCTGGTGCTGTGGCTGATGGGAGTTGTAGTCCAGAACATCTGTAGAAAGGCTGTTCTAGAGGCTATGTATGAAACTTTCCCTCTTCCAGCTTTGGAGCTGGAATGACATTAAGTGGAAGAGCACTTGCCATCAGAGATTTCGGAGGGGATGTTGTCCCCTCCCCCACACCACCCTTCTCCAAAGGGAGAGAGTGATCAAATGGCTTCCTGGTGCTTGCTTTCATAGGTGACTGCCAACTAAAAATCTGCATACACTAATATCATGTACTCATTTGCATATGTTCACTTCCTCTGGGGACACTGGCAATCGTAGCAGTCGCTGACGGCATGTGTGCCTCATTACTTTTTATGTCTAGACAGCTTATTGTAATATTGGGGTGCGGGGAACTGACTTACCGCATCGTATTTGTATCACACCCTTCCTTCAAGAAGTTCAGAGTGGTATATATTGGCGTATCTCATCACATCCTCCCAACCACTCCCTGAGGAGTTAGGATAGGATTAATGTAGGAGATAGTGACTTTCTTAAGGCCACCCTGTGATTTCCTTGGCTGACTGGGGATTCTAACCGAAGTCTTTCCCAATCTAAACCAAACACACTATCTATCTACTACAGCACTCCAACTATGTATTACTTAGAATCTTAGAGTTGGAAGGGACCCTAAAGGTTCTCTAGTCTAACCCCCTGCAATACAGGAATCTCAACTAAGGCATCCATGGCAGACGGCCATCCAGCCTCTGTTTAAAAACATGCTTTATAGCATCTGTTTCTTTATAGTATTGTATCTGGTTTTTATACAGCAAACTGTAGCATAGCAGTGTTAACTTCAACAAGCATGTATTGTTAATTTGGTCTCTTTTTACACCCCTGCTCTCATCTCTTTAATTCATAAGGAATGTGCCATATTTTTCTGCTCCTATCTAAAAATTGAATACTTGGCAGCTTAATATATCTAGGATAGCCTCAGGGTGAATTCAGATTTACTACTTACATTGTACCATCTTAGAAAATACTTTAATATATAAGAACTGATCTATAGAGTTAAATTTCTAGCTGCCTGAACGTGTATGTCTGACACGACATAGTGAACAGTGTTGTGTATCTGTGGTGCTTTTGCCATAGAAATAGGTCAGGGATCACCAAAACAGTGCCCATGGGCACCAGTGTACCTACCAGATCTGCCCTGTGAATGGACATTTCTTATTAAACTAGGCCTATATAACTTGTGCCTTGCTAAACAAAATGCAGCTCATCGGCCATGTCTGGTGGCCATCAGGGGCTTGATAAATTTTAGGTTTTGCCACATGCAGAGGGCTACTAATGGGTGGGATGAGGATGTGGTTTCAAGCGATTGTCTGGTGGGCTTATTCAGCTCAGTGGCCCATGATTTGTGTGGTGACCTCTGAAGGTGCAAGTCCACCAAGCAAAGGGAAAGTGCGTTACGATGGCATTGAGCAAATATTTATGTTGGCATTCCATGCAGTCTGTTGCCAGAATTATCTGTCATATTTGATCTGTTCCTCCCCACCCTGAAAAAGCTGGGCAGAGATTCTGAGATCTTAGATTATGATAACCACCCAGGCTGTTTCACAAGACGGAATCTGAAATGGTGGCTTGGGGCTATTTAATTTTGTTTTCTCTTCATAGCCATTCCACCCAATGGTGAACCTTGAATGTTCCCGGGACTTTCGGCCATTCCTGTGTGCTCTCTATGCTCCTATTTGCATGGAGTATGGCAGAGTCTCCCTCCCATGTCGCAGAATTTGCCAGCGAGCCTACAGTGAGTGTTCAAAACTCATGGAGATGTTTGGTGTGTCTTGGTCAGAGGATATGGAGTGCAGCAGGTGAGAAATCCTCTGGATTTGTGTGTGTGTTTAAACAGCCACCTACAGATTTTAACACGTGCCAGGAATTATAAAATTACTTTGTTTTTCAGCCTTAGTTGCTGTACCCCCCCTTCCCTCCCTTTTCTGGACACTAAACCAACTTAGTGACCCACAGTAACTCTCCTGCTTTGACTGGGTTCCTACCCAGCAGGCAGAGGCTACTACATTTCAGAGTCTCATCAAAAACTTGAAAATTCCTGCTCCAATCTCCCTTTTCATTTTTTTCTCCCCACAAGCCAACCTGCCCCTTTCAGACAAAAAGGTGGCGGCATGGTGAATGACAAAACAATTGCTCAGTCTTCAAACCAGCTGTGCATGTTCCCTACTTTAATTGAGTAATCTCAAATCTTTTTTTGCTTTCGTTCAAAAGGAGAATATGCCAAGTGAAGGCGTCATGGCACATAAAGAACACAAACAATGCATACACAGGACAGCTGAGACAGACTAGAAAGGCTTTACTAGCTTAATAAAGGCATTAGAGTGAAAATAATCACTCTGTCCACAAGGACAACTTGGCTTCTTGTGTTATTTTTGCATCTCTCCTTTTTCTCTTTCCTCATTTGGCTAAGCTACAAGAAAAGGCTCATAGTTTATGTTCAAAAAGTCAAGAAAGCTGGTCATAATCTACAGGAGACCAGACAAGCAATGTTCTGTTCTGCTTTGCAGTGAACTTGAGTCATCTTTTGTTGCTTGCCCTAAGCTTGGCTCCAGAGAAAGACCTTCTCAGTCATAAAGCCATAGAGACATAAAGCCTCTCAGTCCATTCTGCCCACTTCTCTTCAAGTCCAGCATGAAGTTTTACTGTCCATCTGCTGTCCTACACTCTTCCTCTTGTTCACATGCAGGCTGGTGCCGTCCAGTGGTCAAAGTGCTGGTCTAAGGCCAGGGAAACCTGCCGGGGACCATCTAATAGATAGGAGAGGGACTTGCAGTAAGGAGTCAGAGGATTGAAGGTCATATGTATTGGTAAAAACAGCCAAGTGTGCTAAATAAAAGTTGGTCAAAGTGACTGATTTGATTTATTTTAATTAACAAAATGTACCGTATTTTTCGCCCTATAGGACGCACTTTCCCCCCTCCAAAAATGAAGGGGAAATGTGTGTGCGTCCTATGGGGCGAATGCAGGCTTTCGCTGAAGCCTGGAGAGCGAGAGGGGTCGGTGCGCACCGACCCCTCTCGCTCTCCAGGCTTCAGGAAGCTCTGCACAACCCTCGGGAGACCGGCGCCACTTCGCGCCTGCTTCCCGATGGCTGTGCAGAGCTGCCTGCAGTCCCGGGGCGAGCACAGCTCTGTGCAGCCATCGGGAGCGGGGCGCGAAGTTGGGCCGGCCTCCCGATGGCTGCGCAGAGCTGCCTGCTGTCCCGGGGCCAGCGCAGCCATCCGGAGCGGGGCGCAAAGTCGGGCCCACCTCCCGATGGCTGCGCAGAGCTGCCTGCAGTCCCAGGGTGAGCGCAGCTCTGCGCAGCCATCGGGAGCGGGGCGCAAAGTTGGGCCCGCCTCCCGATGGCTGCGCAGAGCTGCCTGCAGTCCCGGGGCCAGCGCAGCTCTGCACGGCCATCGGGAGCGGGGTGCGAAGTTGGGCCCGCCTCCCATGGCTGCGCAGAGCTGCCTGCTGTCCCGGGGCCAGCGCAGCTCTGCGCAGCCATCCGGAGCAGGGCGCAAAGTCGGGCCCACCTCCCGATGGCTGCGCAGAGCTGCCTGCAGTCCCGGGGTGAGCGCAGCTCTGCGCAGCCATCGGGAGCGGGGCGCAAAGTTGGGCCCGCCTCCCGATGGCTGCGCAGAGCTGCCTGCAGTCCCAGGGCCAGCGCAGCTCTGCGCAGCCATCGGGAGCGGGGCGCGAAGTTGCGCCCGCCTCCCGATAGCTGCGCAGAGCTGCCTGCATTCCGAAGCCTGGGGAGACTGGCGTGACTTACCGCTGGCCTCCCTAGGCTTGCGGATAGCAGGCTGTTCTCGGGGCTGGGATTGGGGGAAGCTCGGGCTTCCCCCGCACCAGCCCCGTGCCTGGGGGGGAAATAATTTTTTTTTCTTTATTTCCCCCCCCCACAAAAAACTAGGTGCGTCCTATAGGGCGGTGCGCCCTATGGGGCGAAAAATACGGTATATACTGCTTAATTTTAAATAAGACCTCTAAGCAGTTTGCCAAGAATACAAACATTAACATGATCAATAGAAATCAAAGTTTAAAAACAAGTTTAAAAGCAATGTCTAAAACTCCCAGACTACAGTGTCAGGATGTTACTTTGATTATTAGGTATACAGCCTGTCTCAAAACCTTGAGGCGACAACATCTCCTCCTCTCCATTCAACATTTTGTTACTCCTCCAAGGGCCAAGGAAGCCGCATGATTATTTTGTTGACATTAGTAAAATGTGTGTCTCCAAAGCAGGTTCTCCTTTCTTGCCATTCTAGGTTCCCGGATTGTGACGAGCCTTACCCTCGCCTTGTCGATCTCAATGTCGTTGGGGAAGCGACGGAAGAAGTGCCAGTGGCAGTGCAAAGAGATTACGGCTTCTGGTGCCCCCGAGAGTTGAAAATCGACCCGGATCTGGGCTACACATTCCTGCGGGTACGGGACTGTTCCCCTCCTTGCCCGAATATGTATTTCAGGCGTGAAGAGCTCTCTTTCGCACGATACTTCATTGGTGTGATCTCCATTGTCTGCCTTTCGGCCACCTTGTTTACTTTCTTGACTTTCTTGATTGACGTCACGAGGTTTCGCTACCCAGAAAGGCCCATCATCTTTTATGCCGTCTGTTACATGATGGTATCGCTCATTTTCTTCATTGGCTTTCTGCTAGAGGACCGGGTGGCCTGCAATGCCTCCAGCCCCACCACGTACAAGGCTTCCACCGTGACTCAGGGCTCCCACAACAAAGCGTGCACGATGCTTTTCATGGTGCTCTATTTCTTTACCATGGCGGGCAGCGTCTGGTGGGTGATCCTTACCATTACTTGGTTCCTGGCAGCTGTGCCAAAGTGGGGCAGCGAAGCCATTGAGAAGAAAGCCCTCCTCTTCCACGCCAGTGCGTGGGGCATCCCAGGAACCCTCACCATCATCCTCCTAGCGATGAACAAAATCGAAGGTGACAACATCAGCGGCGTGTGCTTTGTTGGCCTCTATGACGTGGATGCCTTGAGGTACTTTGTCCTTGCTCCCCTCTGCCTGTATGTGGTGGTTGGGGTTTCTCTGCTACTCGCCGGCATCATCTCTTTAAATCGGGTTCGTATTGAAATTCCTCTAGAGAAGGAGAACCAGGACAAGCTGGTGAAATTCATGATCCGGATCGGTGTCTTCAGCGTCCTCTACCTCGTGCCACTCCTGGTTGTGATTGGCTGCTATTTTTATGAGCAAGCTTACCGAGGTGTGTGGGAGACGACATGGATACAGGAACGGTGCAAAGAGTATCACATACCCTGTCCTTATCAGGTGAGCAAGCATCTTTCTCTCTGCAAGGTATTTGCACATGGTCCACTCCCATTTATTCCCAGGTTTATAAACCTGGCGTCGCTCTCCTACTTCCTTGTAGGAACATGCTGCAAGTACATAATCATGACAACTGGAAAGTATGAGTTAGGGAAGAATGCTGGTGGAAAAATGAAATGAAATAGGAACAGGAGTTGGAACCATCAGAACCTTTTTACCGGTGGATTATTTTTGTCCATGATGGTAGGAAGGCCAGCTGTTTAGGAACTGAAGGTTTATAATATACAAAGCACATAAAACTGAGTAAGATAACCAAGACAATCCCTGCCTTGCAGGCTTACAGTCTAAGGATGACATGGCACAGAAGAGAAAAGAGAGCAAGCTTGCATGATGGATAGTTTTAGAAAGAACAGATACAGCCCATTGGAAAGAGGCCATCTCTCTTCTAGGTTTTCAGGGGAATTTTGGTTAATAAATAGACTTTTGAGGTTGGATGGAGGTGACACATGGCTTTTTCCTTGCCAAAGTCAACAACAGGCTTATAAAGGCAATAGGAGGACAGGAGAAATTGGGTTGGTGGTTGGGTGAGATAAATAAGGCAGGCAAGTTTGCAGTCACTCCTATTTCTGTTACCAAAAGCACAAGGGAACAACAAGGCAGTCCCTCCTCTTTCACCCCAAAGCAGCCCCCAAGTCCTCACTGCTAATATTACAACTGCCATAAAGCAGGTGAGCTGACAACCCCCTCCTCCCCTGTCCAAAACCACCTGCTTCATAACGGGGCACAATATCGAAGGGCCAACTGGCCCAGCATTCCTTCTGCTGCCTCCATCACCAGCACAAAGCAGACAAGCAGCTTAGAAATCCAACCTCCATTGCCCTGATGAAGCCAACTGGTCCATTTTGTTCCTTAATATTGCTGTGCTTGAATGATGGGGTTTTCGTTAAACAAGTAGGGCTGAAATATAAGAGATTCTCAAGTGTTTCAGCAGCTGTGGTTGGCATAATGCAGCGGGCTTCACATACACACTCCTTGCAAATTTCACCTGTCCCTGGGTCTTTGCTGCTTTCTTCCTCCCGTAACTTGTTCTAGCACAATGAGATTAAAATCTTTCTCATTACTGTGACATATACCTGCACCAGCAAATATCACATTTCTGTCAGTAATATTAAGGGTGGGTGTGGTTAACGTGCAGAGTGTAACAATATGCAGGATGGCTGCTTCCCAACTGCTCAGAGTTGAGAATTTAATCAGTAAGCTTATCTTGAAAAGAACAGATTAATTATGTTTATTGGGCTACTGAAAGCTTAATGAGGAGAACATAAAATTCACAATGCTGCTTGATAGTTAAAAGGGGGCGTGTATGGAGGAAAAGTGTAAATCTGCCAACTGCTATTTTGATATGAGAATGGAAGATACGCCATTTTCTAGTGACAGGCTTTATACCTTTTGCATCCTACGCTTAAAATGCTTGCAAAAAGGCTCCACAGTTTTAACATCCATGTACAAACTTCTAGGAACTCCAACCCAATCAGAGGTTCTTGGACCCCTGTGTTGCATGCCTGTTGCATCCTCCTTACGCACGGGCTGGAAGGGTGAACATGAGGACGACACAGCTGTGCAGGCATGCACCCTTCCAACCAGCCTTTTGCATCCTCATGACGCCCTGCCAGCCCCACACGACTTTGCCAGGCTGGGATCAGACGCAAAGCAGCATGGGACTGGCAGGGGCGGCATGAGGAGCAAAATGCACCCTCCAAAAAACTGCCCCCCCCTCTCCCCACCCACACTACGCCTCTGCTAAGATCTCGTGTAGTGGGAGTGAGCCGGTTGGGTTGGACTTTAGGACCCACCAGCAGAGAAGGGAGGACAAACATCTTAGGAAGGAGGCAGAGCTCCCAGCATTCCTCGGTCTGTCCTGCCTTCACAGCAAGCAGCACACATCTTCCTTCAGCTCCAGTGTTTGTCACTGGAGGTCTGTTGCCCTGCCAGCTTTTCCCCTCGCTTCTGTGGCTTCTACCCATGAACCGTGTACACACTTTGGTTGTAGCGCCAAAGGTTGTTGGCAGACTCCTTTCCGTCTGTGGAGTTTCCCCAGCAGGAGCTGGTGCCATCCATTTCTGCTTCCCAGCTTAGTTGAGATGGGAGCAGATCAGTTATCTGTCTTTCAAATCACCACAGCCCTGTTTTATTTTTGGAGTTCTGTTCCAAGGAAAGTGCTCTTCTGCTCCCCAGGTAGCCGCAGGCCTAACTCTGAGCAGTGACTGGAAGTAATTTGTTATATAAAGGGAGCAAGAGTGTGCTAGCTCTTAATTGCAGCTGGCAGTTCTCCAGAGTCGAACCTAATCTATGTGAGCAAACAGCAGGAAAGGAAAGATGTGCACAGCTCTTAGTTTTGTCCAAAGTGTGATGACGTTGGGCCTGTCCACTGCCAGACCAGGAGTGAGATGCCACGTCCTCTGAAGCTGTGAACAGCTGGTTGAGGATCCTGCAGCTATTTGGAGCTTGAGGATCTTGCAGCTATTTGAAATCTCATTTCAGAGAGAAATTCACAAGTCTTCAGATAATCGGAGGATCTCCCAGTTTGGATTCTTTACTTCACCTTGTGATGAGAGGGACAGAGAACAGGCAGTGCTGACTGTGCGAGCGAAAGACCCACACCTGGTCTCTCCTTGAGGGTAGTCCCAGGGGTGAAATGTTGAAAGAGGTTTGGGCTGTTCTTAGCTTTCCCTCAGGAGTGAAATTGCCCAGACCAGAAGCTACTTGCCATCTGGTCTAGTCAGATACGCTATCTGAATTATAGCTTTGAGACTAGCAGAAGCAGCTGCTGTTTGGAATTGGGAAGATCTTGAATTCTCGACACCCTGTCCTAGTTGTTCTTTGCCCTGTGCACAGTATCAATTAAGGGAGTACAGGGCACAGACTGAGACTGCAGCTCCATGAGCATTTTTTCCCCCAGCTTTGTGTCGCTTCCTGTCAAGTGGGATCAACTGCCACTTCATTATCCAGCCACCGCTTGGCATCTCTCATAATACGTTTTTCTGCCTCAGAGCCATAACAGAAGCTGATGGCATTTGACAGGCACTATAAATGCCTCCAGATTCAGCTGCTCTGAAAGTGTCCTGGGTGGCATTTGCAGGGGCTTCACTCCACTCTGTTTCAAGAATAGGATTGATACTTGTTGAGAAACAGACAGCATTGCAGAAGCAGAAGAGCAGTGCTTCGTAAGTTAGCTTTCAGTGAGTGTATGCAGGCAGTCCTTTCTGAATCTGCAATGGAACAACTGCTTTCTCGGCCCTATTGTGCTATCAGCCCCAATCAGCTATGGTAGCTTTATAGCTCTACAAATTAATGGAGCAGGTGTGCAAGCCTCAATTGCAGAAGGAGAAAAGGCATTTTCCCTTGTGCCTTGGAGTGCCAAGCTAGAGATGATGATAAGCATGCTTTGTTGTTGTTTAGTCGTTTAGTCATGTCCAACTCTTCGTGACCCCATGGACCAGAGCATGCCAGGCACTCCTGTCTTCCATTGCCTCCTGCGGTTTGGTCAAACTCCTGTTAGTAGCTTCGAGAACACTGTCCAACCATCTCGTCCTCTGTCTCCAGGTAGTGTGGTTGCTGACCTTGAGCCAGACATCCTGGAGAGTGAAGTCAAATGGGCCTTAGAAAGCGCTGCTAATAACAAGGCCAGTGGAAGTGATGGTATTCCAGCTGAACTATTTAAAAAATTTTAAGATGATGCTGTTAAGGTACTACACTCAGTATGCCAGCAAGCTTGGAAAACTCAGCAGTGGCCAGAGGATTGGAGAAGATCAGTCTACATCCCAATCCCAAAGAAGGGCAGTGCCAAATAATGCTCCAACTACCGCACAATTGCACTCATTTCACACGCTAGCAAGGTTATGCTCAAAATGCAGCTACTGCCCAAAGCAGCACCCCAGCATTTTGCTCTCCCATAATCCTAGCAGAGTTTACAGACCTTGTGGTGTTTGGCCTTTCCCTTGCCAGCCCATGGAATATTGCAAAATCAGGATGCTTACAAATTATACCGGATACTATGGAGGAGGACCTGGATGGTTTTCATTGCTATCTTCACAGTTAGCATGCACTCTGCCCTGGCTCATAGGTGTACCATGCGTGATTGAGCCTGATTCTCCACAACTCATTACACTTGTGTTTATAAAATTTCATATATGCAAGTAAGAGACAGTTGCTGTCGTGGGGCTGTTAATATGAGATTGTGACTCTCCGCATTTAGTGAGGACTTTCACAGCATTTCCACCAAATAGTTGGTCAGCAAAGGGGATACCTTGTGGTGCTCACATGTCAGAGTGCTTTCCCCCCACAGTTTTGTGAATTCAGTCCATGGCAAGTGATAGCATTGCCATTATGATCCAAATGTACTTCAGCTAAACAGAGCGGGAGTTAATTCCATGTGAATACTTCACACGCTTCTCCAGGAAAATCTATTGAAATCAATTGTTTGGGTGTGATTTGTGGCTATTTTCCTTGCCAATGTTGCCTCTTTGTTTTAATGGTTATGTACTGACATGTTCTCTGGCTTTGGAAATACTTAAGGTACATGAGGAATTGAAATTGGAGTTTTGATTGAAATGATTTTCTGTGTGACTGAAATACTTCAGATAAATTGCCTTGATCTATCTGGATTCTGTGGGCCCATTATGTAGATGGGAAATGGAGGGACTGGACTGATCTTTGCTTTCTGCTAGTGAGTTAGAGAGATGGAGTTGTGGATCTGCAGCAGTGTCTCATGTTTGCCCTTGTCTGCTCCTTCCAGGTCACGCAGATGAGTCGTCCAGACTTGATCCTCTTTCTGATGAAGTATCTGATGGCTCTGGTGGTTGGGATTCCATCTGTCTTCTGGGTTGGAAGTAAAAAGACCTGCTTTGAATGGGCCAGCTTCTTCCATGGGCGCAAGAAAAAAGAGTGAGTTGTGATACATAAAAGGTGGCATGGAACAGGTTCTTCTATAACTCAGGAACATTCAGATTTTACTCAAAGCAGTTCTTAAGCGAGAGGCAGATTTTCTTCCCTCATTTTTCCCTGCTTGCCTTTTTTCAAGCTTTCTTTGACGGGTAAAAACAACAACTCCAAACTGTTGTTTTCATTTCATTTCATTTCAATTCAATTTCTCAAAGGGGAATATGGAAAGAGTAGATCAGGCAATCTCCACGCCACCTCCCACAAACTCTTAAACTCCTTTCCCCAAATATACATGGCAATGGGGGGAGCAAAGTCCCCATCCACTCTTAATATCTCTCACTCCCCCACCCCACGCAGCATTCTGCATGCCAGAAAGAGGGAGGGGAAGGGCCTGCTGGGTAGCAGGGAAGAGACTTTGCTGCCACCATTGCTCCTGTCTTGCTGCTGGGGCAGAATGAGGCCACCAAATTGCTGACAGGTTCAGTCTTCATCTGAGACCCTTCGCATTTCTCCATCCCTCTTGACAAAGGCCATCCATTAGGCCAGCCGACACTATATCTGTGCCAAACTGTGCTGAATCTGGATTGAAATGGACCCAGATAATCTGCTTAATTCAGCCGTGCTTGTTGTTGAGCCGCCGCCACCTTCTCAAGCATTTTGCCCCCGAAGGGGATATTGGCAACTGGGCGATGGTTGTTAGTAGTTGCTGGGTCCAAAAAAAAAAAAGGCTTGTTAAGGAGAAGCCACAGTTCCTTCAAGGCAGACAGCACCACTGCCTCACACAATGAAGAGTTCACCTTAGTCAGGGGTGCAGAATCGGATGTGGCCAGCAGGCTTCTTTACCTCTGAGGGAGGTGTCTTACAAGGCCACCTTCTATAGAGTCAGATCAGCTGCACGGACTGGGAGTGGCTTTCCACCATTTCACAGATGGGTCATTCGTTCCCAGCTTTAGCTTGAAATGCCAAGGGTTGAACCTGGAACCTTCTGTGTTCTGATACTGAGCTGTGGCCCAGCCAGACTGTCTTAACCTATGCAGCATAGATGCTGAAAGTAAGACATGCTGAGAGGAGTCACCAGTGGGAAGACGGCTGTTGCACCGAGGCCCTTCTTCTACAGCAGCGGTTCTCAACCTGTGGGTCCCCAGATGTTGTTGGACTATGACTCCCATCATTCCTGAGTTATGGCCTGGCTAGCTATGGGTGATGGGAGTTGTAGTTCAATAACATCTGGGGACCCACAGGTTGAGAAAGGCTGTTCTACAGGTTTCTCAGAGGCTTCTGGCTGACAATTTTTTTAAAAAGGATGCAGGATTAGGTGGCCCCCCTTCGGCCTGGTCCAGCAGCGGGACTCTGCAGCTACTAGTAAAAAACGATGCTTGCCTCCCCTCCAAAAATTATTGCTGTCTTGTATTTCTACAACAGTGAACACCATTTCTAGGTCTGAGTGATCCAGAAACAGTAAGAACAGATCCCTCCCATTCGCATTGGCTATTCAGAAGATTTTTTTCGCCACCTAACCTCTGCATGCTCTTGCCTATTGCCATCTCTCTCTCTGGAGTCAAACTGATGAGACTTTACTGTTGTAAACAGGGTTGTGAACGAGAGCCGGCAAGTGCTTCAGGAGCCTGATTTTGCTCAGTCGCTCTTGAGAGACCCCAACACACCCATAATCCGCAAGTCCAGAGGCACCTCCACCCAAGGGACATCCACCCACGCTTCCTCTACCCAGCTGGCTATGATGGACGACCAGCGAAGCAAAGCGGGCAGCGTCCATAGCAAAGTCAGTAGCTACCACGGCAGCTTGCATAGGTCACGGGATGGCAGGTGAGGAGACTGAAATGGCTGTGTAAATGCAACACACCTAGGCAGAGAACACGTCACCATTTAAACAGAGGGTTACCAGTTGCTGGATGAATTTGTGGGAGCTGATAGCCTTTTCCCCCATCCCTTAGTGGTCTGTTTCAAGTTCTGTCAATAGAGGTGTGAACTCTTTTTTCTCTCCCACACTGTCCACATAGAAAACAGCATTAAATGGAGTTAGATCCTGGCCGTTCTTGCCTACCCGGGCTGGCAGCAGTTCTCCAGGGTTTCAGAGTGGGTTTTCTTCTGGCCATCGAATCACAGCGCTGGAAGGGAACACACACCCTTTTGTGTGTTCATATGCATAGCTGTCAACTTTTCCCTTTTTAAAAGGGAAATTCCTTTATTCCGAATAGGGTTCCCCGCAAGAAAAGGGAAAAGTTGACAGCTATGCATATGGTCTAGCCCCCTGCAATGTAGGAATCACAGCAAAAGAATCCCTGACAGATGAGTATCCGACCTCTGTTTAAAAACCTGCAACAAAGAAAAGCCGGCCTTTGTCTAAATTCTCAGACTTAGGGAGGCCTGGGACTGAAACTGAGCTCTGCTGAATCTGATCTGCGTTATGCATTGTGTCGGGTGGGAGGGGAGGTCCTGCAGCTATCTGAATGGGAAACCCATTCTTGTCTGCGTTACTGAAACCGATGAGTCTTTATGAATTAGGTATACCCCCTGCAGTTACCGCGGGATTGAAGATCGACTACCTCACGGCAGCATGTCCCGACTGACGGACCACTCCCGGCACAGCAGTTCCCACCGGCTCAACGACCAGTCGCGTCACAGCAGCACCAGGGACCTCAGTGGCAATCCAGTGACCCACATCACGCACGGCACCAGCATGAACCGGGTGATCGAAGAGGACGGTACTAGCGCTTGAGCCGCGCTTTTCTCTGTTCCATGAGCAGTGCTCGTTCCATTTCAGTTCAACAGTGTTAGCCCTTTCTCTTAGGTGCTAAGCTTGCCCCGGTGGAACCTAACCAGCTGCTGCCTTTTCCCCCTAATCAGCAATTTCTCAGAAACATTTTCTCCCAGCAAAGGTATGCTGCTCGATCGAGTCTACAAGCTAAACGGTTTTCTGGTACTTGACTCCTCGATACAAACTTTATTTATTATGCTTGACGACTGGAATTTCTTAGCGCTGTTTTTTAATGGTCCGTATGCTTCTCTAAGAGATGTCTACTATGAAGATCCTGTGGAAGGGGGACAAAAAAAAAACCCCAAGCAGAAGACTGGCTTTTTGTTTGGGAAAAAATTCCACCCCTGCAATCTTTTTGTTGCTGTCTCTGATTAGATAATAAACTGGTTAGCTGTTCTCATGCAGCGCAGAGGGTGGGCTGCATGTTTTTTAAAAACTGCACAAAGGACATCTGTAGGGGATCAGCAGGAGATTTTAAGCGGTTACACTGGAAATGCAGCAGAAGGATAATGAGCAGAGAAGGCTCTGCATAAGGGTGTCTGCTCTGAACTGAAATTGCTAGTCTCTGGGAGGGAGGCAGGGTGGGTGGGTATGAACAATTGGTACTTAGCTTCTTGTATCGTCTGTGCTTTTGTAGAAAATGTTCCAATTTCCTACTTGTTTACAGTTTTTACGCAGGGAAGAAGGGAAGTGGGCGTTAGTTCCCAAACTGTATCCGTCGCCTCCCAAGCCCAACATGGATGTGAGAGGGAAATGGATTTTGACAATTTAGCTACCTTTTGTTCTCCTGACGAATATTGTGTAAATACCCCCATCCCTGACCCCTTTCAGCCTCAGTGCCTTGAACAGCTCCTGCTGTATCTAGGGCATTCTATGGGGGTGGGGTTAATGACCTCTATTAAGACATAATGGGAACTGGGGTGCTGTTTGAGAGGGGAAGGGCAAGTGGACCCATTCATGCACTTGCTAAACTGTTGGCTTGTTTAATGAAGTGTGTTTTGGCCAAGGCCTGAGAACAGTCATTAAGGAGAGAAAAGTTTGAATTTGCTCGTCGCTTCGCATTCCAAGCTCAAGGAAGGGAAGTGGAAGACACACAGAGCAAATGAGGCTTTCTCCACCCGGTTCCTTAAATCAGGTTCAGAATAGGGCTGAGGGAATTCTTTGTGGAGTGCGCTTAGCTTCCTTTTTCAAATGTTGCTGTTAGGATAACTTAGTGCGGGTGCTGAAGGCAGGCTCATTTGAACCATGCGTTTAGTTCAGGGGTAGCTGATGACAGCCTAAGCACTTCTGAGTTGGGACTTCCATGTGGGTTACTTGAGGGAGGGGGAGGGTTCTTCAGACCTTAGTCCAGTGTTTCTCAACCTTGGGCCTCCAGCTGTTTTTGGACTACAACTCCCATCATCCCTAGCTAGCAAGACCAGTGGTCAGGGATGATGGGAATTGTAGTTCAAAAACAGCTGGAGGCCCAAGGTTGGGAAACACTGCGTCCATACAGCTGTGGCCATGGTGACCTTCCTGGACTCAAGGCGCCACCAGTGCACCGAAGACTCTGACGTGAGAAGCAGATCGCAGGGGCTGGGATCCCAAAACGTGCACTTTCTTCCAGCCAAGGGGACCTGGGGCTTGTGCTTCCTGCTAGAAGCAGACCTCCCGCAGAGCATGCCAAACAGCTCTGGAAAATAAGGGAACTTTCTCACAGCAATTTGGGATATAGCAAGGGGGGCTGCTGTTAAGGGGCAAAGGTCCTGTGGGTGAACCTCAAGTGGCGTTTTTGAATCCCAGCCCAAATGTGAAGCTGGCCTCAACTCCCCCCCCCCCCTTTATTTGAAAAATTCAGGATTCAAGGGGCAGCTTAAGGTTCCCAACCTCGGGGTTTGCGCTTTCAAAACAGGGATATCCGATTAAGATTGCCATCTTAAACATACAAGCTAGTAAATCTCATTGGACAGAGTGGGACTTGCTTCTGAGTAAACGTACATGGGGTCTGGTTTTAAGTATGACTTGTCCACCAGCTTTGGCCATGTACTTGTGCACTCCTGTGAATGATATGCAAATGAGTAATTCATATATGCAAATTAACAGTCCTTGCTGAAAACGTTGCCCACACCGCTTTTGGGAAGTAGACTTGATTTTTCTAAGGCAGCTATTGGCAAGTGTTTGAATTGTTGCCACAAGGAAGCACTGGCTTGTGTTCGAACCTACCTCACCTATTGCTCAGTAACCCTATTGCTGGGAATGTACAGTTGCTTTCTCTTAATATGCTTCACCCATCTGATCTGTGTCTGCTATATGACGTGCAGGAAACATGCCAAACACCTACACTTGGATGCTAGCGCTTAAGGATTGTGACAAAGCATTGTTTCGTTTTTATAGAATTTGTGGTTCCTAACATTTGATAGTATTGCAAGAAAGCGGGTGTTGAGTGGAAGGTGAGGGGACCTCACTCCCCGCAGCGACTCCACACGAGGGGGAGGGGAATCTTGGAGAACCTGGGATTTAAATGCTACCCCATAAGAAACCGCCCCACGGCTACCTTTGGAAAATCTGAAATTGCTAGAGCTCCTCATTTCCTCAAATGAAATGGGTAGCCCAACTAAGGCTGGAGGCTGGGCGACCTGGCAAAGAGCAGCAGGTGCAAGTTTTATCTGATGCAATGAGACTTCTTTGCTCCTCCCTTTCTCCTCCTCAAATAACACATATACTCTTCAAATCAAATACTAGTTTTCTCATCTTCTCTCCTCCCCCCCCCCCGTCGTTTATCTACTAATAGTTTAACCTATTTCAACAAAATAAGTTGCTAATCCAGTATCTTTCAAAAAGGAAAAGCGTACTCTGGTGAGCATGGAGGTAGAAAATGTGGTGTTACAAGCCCCTAACCCAGTGTTTCCCAACCTTTTTTGGGCAAAGGCACACTTGTTTCATGAAAAAAATCTCGAGGCACACCACCATGCCAGATGGGGAAAGGTCACTTTTTACTTATGTAAAAAAAAATAGTAACAGCATAGAAGGTAATGGTTAGGCTAGCATCCCTCTTCCAAATATGCTAGGTTTTTATTTGCAGGGACTGTTCTACATGGGAAAGCATTCAGCACTGTCATTCTCCCATCTGCCATCTGAATTGGTACTATTCTGGGTCAACTTACTCTGCTGCATGTGTAGATGAAAATGGCACCAAGTGTGGGGGAGGGGGCAGAACAGGTTTCAGATACAGGATATTAAGCATACACGTACTTCAGATTGAACTGGTTGCTTGCTTTGCAAGTTTTCATTTCCCAAATGACTGCCTTGGCAAGCGCAATACCTACCAGGCTCAACGCCGTTCTCGCGCTGCCGCTTCCCGCGCTCTCAAGGACCCGGGAGGAGGAAGGCGTGAAGGGAATCCCGAAGGCGCGAAAACCTCGCGCATGCGCAGGCCTTCCGCCTGCGACAGCCCAGTAGGCCGGCCGAAGCGAGCGGCGATGGGATGTGGGAGGGAGCTCACTCGCCGCCCCGTGTGTGCCTATGTGGGGCACGTTACAGCCCCGTGACGTCAGCGCCACGCAGGCAGCCAGGCAGGCAGACGGCGAGAGCCCCGCGCTGGGCGGCCTCTCCTCGCCACCGCCGCCCCGCCTCTCGCCGCCCAACTCGCCCGCCTCCCTCCAGGCAACATCTCGCGGCACACCAGGCAACGTCTCGCGGCACACTAGTGTGCCGCGGAACACCGGTTGGGAAACACTGCCCTAACCCATGGGTAGGCAAACTAAGGCCTGGGGGCTGGATCCAGCCCAATCGCCTTCTAAATCTGGCCCCCAGACGGTCTAGGAATCAGCGTGTTTTTACATGAGATAGATAGATAGATAAACTTTATTCGCATTAGCCAACGGCCATAGCAACGTAAAACAAGCAATATATACAATTAAAAAGACAGCAATGGGTACAAAGGAGTAGAATGTGTCCTTTTATTTAAAATGCATCTCTGGGTTATTTGTGGGGCATAGGAATTCATTCATTCCACCCCCCCCCCCAAAGTATAGTCCGGCCCCCCACAAGGTCTGAGGGACAGTGGACCAGCCCCCTGCTGGAAAAGTTTGCTGACCCCTGCCCTAACCTGTCTTAGCTTCCCACCGCCTCTTCTGCACTTCTCCTAAGCCTGATGCTACTTAAAAGATGGGGTGGGGCTGGGTGGCAGCGCACTTCTACAGTTGCTGCACCCCTCTACATAAATGCACATCTGGGGTGCAACCTAAGCTCGGTCCAGTATAACTGAAGGAGCGTCTCCACCCCCATCGTTCTACCCGGACACTGAGGTTCAGCGCCGAGGGCCTTCTGGCAGTTCCCTCACTGCGAGAAGCCAAGTTACAGGGAACCAGGCAAAGGGCCTTCTCGGTCCGGGTGGCACCCGCCCTGTGGAACGGCCTCCCATCAGATGTCAAGGAAATAATCCACTATCTGACTTTTAGAAGACATCTGAAGGCCGCCCTGTTTAGGGAAGCTTTTAATGCCTGATGCATTACTGTATTTTAATATTTTGTTGGATCCGCCCACAGTGGCTAGGGAAGCCCAGCCAGATGGGCGGGTATAAATAATAAATTATTATTATAAGCTTGCACCAGCTCCCAAGTAAATTTGGGGTGCTGCTCTGTTTATATCACAATGCACATAGAGGCTTGGATTCCTGTGGCATTCACTGCAGAAATGGCCTCTTGGGTGGAATCTACACGCATCTTAAAAATGTTCTGAAAATGCTGTTGTCGCTTTTTAAGCGTTTTTTAAAAATACAGTGGATTTTCCATAAGGCTTACTATCGCCATCTAGTGTCACATTGTATATTTGAAACACACTTCAAACGTTTTATTTGCGGCTGTATAGTTGAGTCCTCGGACTGCATGCATGCCTAAAATACTAGGACAAAGCCACCCATTGCTTGAAATGCCTCGGCCACATTGTTCTGCTCTGGCTGTGGGGAAGTGGATAGATTGTTAGGCCAGCTTGCAGCATGTACCACTTCCTGGTTCGCCAGAGAAGCTGCTCTGCTTTAGCTACACAGGCTCATAAAAAGCCAAACCCTCTACTGCTTGGGGCAGGGATTAAAGTAAATCAGAATAGGAGAGGAGGGTTTTTTTTTTGTAACAGCAAAGGGATTATGTTTATTGATACTTAGTTTTGCAAAGGGTCCCCCCTTCCCGCTCCCCTTGGCTTTTGCAAAATGCCATTGGAGTGTAGCTAGATTTGGCTTAAATGGGTATAGCTTCAGGCATCAGCAATAATTCTTCTGTCAAGTGTGATGAGGTACAACAGAGCAGGGTTTTTAATGTAAGCTCTGTTATTTTCAATCCTTGGCTGTAGTCCTGGGTATAAAAGGGGCACACAGATGTGAAGGAGATTGCTGGTGTTTTTCTCCAATGAAGGAGAGAGCCCACCACTTCCAAGGTAGCCAAAAATATATTCCTAAGGCTTAGTCAGAATCTCCCTTCTTGCAATTTGAAATCAATTTGAAGGAGCGTCTCCACCCCCATCGTCCAGCCCGGACACTGAGATCCAGCACCGAGGGCCTTCTGGCGGTTCCCTCATTGCGAAAAGTGAGGTTACAGGGAACTAGGCAGAGGGCCTTCTCGGTAGTGGCGCCCGCCCTCTGGAACGCCCTCCCATCAGATGTCAAGGAAATAAGCAGCTATCTTCTTTTTAAAAGACATCTGAAGGCAGCCCTGTTTAGGGAAGTTTTTAATATTTAATGCTATATTGTTTTTAACACTTGATTGGGAGCCGCCCAGAGTGGCTGGGGAAACTCAGCCAGATGGACGGGGTATAAATAATAAATTATTATTATTATCTTAGCCACCCTCCTCCACACACATTCCAGCTTTTCGATATCCTTAAATTGTGGTGCCCAGAACTGGACACAGGACTCTAGGTATGGTCTGACCAAGGCAGAATAGAATTGGTACTATTACTTTCCTTGATTGGGACACTAGGCTTCTGTTGATACAGCCTAGAATAGCATTAGATTTATGTTATTTTTTTCTGCTGCATCACACTGTTGACTCATGTTAACCTTGTGATCTGCTAAGACCCCCCTAGATCCTTCTCACATGTACTGCTGTCAAGCCAGGTGCCCCCCCCCCATCCTGTATTTGTGCATCTGATCATTCATGCCTGAATGGAGAACCTTACATTTGTCCCTATTGAAAGTCCAGTTCTCGAACTATAGAATGATAGAACTGTAATCTGTTGAGGTCTTCCTGGATCCTAATTTCTATTATTTCAGAAGAATGGCACCATGTTTCCCCTCCATTGCCACCAGGGTGGCCGAGAGAGCCTCAAATCCCATTTTATTGTGAACTCATTCAATTTTGTGGAGGGCACAGTTCGTTCTTCCTAGCAAACTTAAAAATCGCCTTGCTTCAGCTCCCATGGAGTTCAGAACCATGTAGCCAAGCCATCTAGAACAGTCTTCCCCAACCCTGTCGACCTCCACATATTGGACTACAGCTTCCATCATCCCTGACCACTGGCCATTCTGGGTGGAGCTGATGGGAGCTGTTGCCCAAAGCATCTGAAAAGCACCATGTTGGGGATTCCTTCTTATATCCCATGCAGGTAGCAAAATCCATCCACTGTATGCCTCAAAGAAAACTAGATCTGACCTCTAAGCAAGTTGACCCTTCAGTGCTGTATTTTTCAGTACTGCCTTAGATGTCGCGAGCTAGTGGATGTGGGCTCTCTCCTTGTCAGTGAAGGATCCAACTGAGGGGTTAAGAGGTTGAAATGGCAGGAAATCCCGACAGATGTGGGCTGGTTCCCCTTTCCTCTTTCATATTAATGGGATTTTCCGCTCTTAACAGCTGTATTTAGGGA